CCTACTGTAGCTCTCTGCTGCGTGCTATCTCCATAGGCAGCTGGCTTCTTAGGCCAACAGGAGACTCTCTTGTCTGGTCGGTGAGGAAAGAGTACAGTGTTGTTACACGTGGTGTGACAGAGCCATGTGGTGACGCATCGTCACCTTTGCCATATTTTATTGCCTGGGAGCATGTTCTAGTTTCCATTTGCCCTCTAGGTAAGGGGATTTCACAAGAGCATAGCTCACTGGGTGTCAGCTGAAGGTGGATTTGCCTCTGAAACTTAGAAAAGAGATATCAGAGTCCCCAGAAGTGGGTAATGGAGGGACCACTTGGAAAGACTGCATTTCAGACCAGCAAAGAGGAAATGGGAGCAGGAGGAACATGCAGGGCTGTGTGGGTGAAAGTGGAAGTGCTTGGCTCTTAGCTGAGCAATTGCTACCCGGGAAGGGCAATGACACCCGCTGACTGCAGACTAAGAGCAGGAGGAATTCTTTCTCATTTAACCAAAAAGAAGCTTGAGCGTGAAGGAGTGTCTTGGCCTTGGACTCAGAACTCCTGGGTTCAAAGACCAGTTTTGTTATTAACTAGCAGTGTGATTTGGGGCCTGCTGGTTATCTGAGTCTAGTTTCTGGTGAATGCTTTATTTACATAGTTAATTGCAATGAAAAAACAGCTCTTGGATGGGAAGCGCCCTGAAGACCAGCCGGGTCTTATTTCTGAAGGCAGTTTTACTGTGTGCCAAGACTTCATACTCCAGGCGGGGTGCAGAGGGGCACAGCTTGTTGTCCTAGCTACTGGCAGGGGGCACAGGTGAGGAGGGAAAATCACTTGATCCCAGGCCTTGAGGCCAGTCTGGGTGACACAGCAAAAGTTTGTCTCAAAAACCATACCAAATCAGACTAAACCCTGGCCAGACTCACTGGCTCCCCAGTTGTCTGGCTGTTCCTAGTCTTCCTCTTGGTGTTTCCTAAATGGGGGTGAGGGGAGGGTCTCTGAGTTCTGGCCTGGGGCCCTCTTACCCATTACATGCTTTTCCTTGGTCTCTGATCTACCTCTGCCTAGAGCCAAATGCTCCCCAGTCCTCACGGCCTATTCTACTTTCCCTGTCGCTAGATTCACACATGCAACACATTACTAAACAAGGTGCAGGGGCTGGGGGTTTGATCCCCAGGCCTGCAGTGCCGGCCCCACTCCCGGGACATGCTGAGATGGCAATCGAGACTGGGTGTGGTGGCATGTGCCTATAATCCCAGCTCTTGGGAGGCTGCAAACAGGTGGATCACTAAAGTCTGAGCTAGTAGTGAGACCCTGATCACTCTGTAGACCCTTCCCTATACAACTTTGTGTTTGTTTGTTTTTTGCAGTACCGGGGATTGAACTCAGGACCCTGTGCTTGCCAGGCAGGTACTTATTTTACTGAGCTATCTCTCTGGCCCAAAATTTGAGATGGA